ACGTGGTGCCCCAGCGAGTCGAGACCCCTGTCAGGTCTTGTTCTTTGCATTGCAGAGGCAAATGCGCCTGGAGCATTCCAGCGAACCCCTAACGGCCCCAATCGCCAGTCGCCACCAGCTGGTGCAGCCCCAAGTCAAGGCCGCCAGTTCCCGTGAAGAGGCTGATAACATTCCGCACTAGCATCGCCATTTTTGTCCATTTTTGGGTATTTCACGGCCTATTTGTCAAAAATTTTCTTTGTCTACTCTTTGGAATCAGGGGTCCAAACCGCGTTAGTATACATAACCCGCTATTAGTATCCACAACTCTTTTTGGGGGTCCAATACATGCCTGCTAATACCGGGTAAATACGGTAAGAAACAAATAAAACAGAAGTATTCTATGGTCATCTGTTAGAGCCGCACCAATTGTTCATTTCCAACGCATTTCCAATATCAAAAGGATCTACGAGCACGTTATGATTGAAATGTTTTCCACGACATGATGTCATCTACAGCGGCATTGCTCCTGTGTTCTGTGGCACCATTCCTCGACATTTACCAAATAGAATTCGCCGCCGTTGAGCAATCATACAATGCATGTGCGCTGTTCACTTTCAAATGCGCTGTACAGCTCCAAAGCAAGGACATGCCTTTGCCGCATATGTGTTGAAATGATTATCGCTAGGAATGAATAGTGATTCATTGGCAACGATCAATGCCAAACAATCAGCTCACCACCTGCTGTGGATTCTTTTTCCGCCTCCAGGGAGGATTCAGAAGGCAGCGGGGGAGCCAAGCTTGATGATGGATGGCCATATCAGGTGCTCAGTACATTGATCATGCGAAAGTCTGTGCTACTATTACGTCAACCAGGAATTTCGCCAGCATTAGGCTGGCGGTCATTTTGACAAACGCTTTGGAAAACTGAGACATCTCAGGGCCGCAATTTTCACTTTACAATCTTGGACGCATCTCAACGCGTTCCGCCCTGCATCGGATTGCCTTCAACTCAAGGAAGCCAAGGAATCCGCAGTTAAACATTCGAAAGTGTTTCAATGACAGGAATCTAGGCGTACAGCAATGGATGGGATGCTAATGTATATCTAATTGACAGGCCCGCGGTGATGAAACAACGGTGCAAAATGCGCTGCAGCACGTTTTTTTTGGACGGTGTTGGTGCGAGCATTCCGCTACCATCGCTTTTTCCACGGCGCTTTCGAAGACCGTGCGTGGGAAAATTCTCGACGGGTGACATCATTTGGGATCCATCCCAGCGCAAGAATTGAAAGCAAGTAAAAGTGTAACGAAAATGAATTTTGGATTGGGAAGTACTGATTCGATTTGAGTTGACGCTTATTTTTTGCCGCCTTCAGCCGAGGATGACTTTGGAGTCCCCGCAGAGAATGATGAACCTGCTGGCAGCTGGAGCCTCAGCAAGAGAGTCCATTGAACAAACTGCCAGGTGTGCATACACCAAGGGACGTTGATGAGTTCACTGAATTTGACATCAGCAGCAACGCCGATATCTGCTTTTATTGACTGCGCTCATTGTTTAGAAGCGAGAATACCGTGCTTTACTATTGCAAGTGAATCTATTATAATGCGATGCAGATTGGGTTGCTTGCAGTCGCTAGATCTGTGCAAGCGTTCATCTGAACCATAGCGTCGACGGTTGCACTGCAATGGCGAATCTTATCTGAGACATTTTGCTGACAACCAGAAATTCCTGGATGCACATGATTCGCTTTAGTCTCTGTATCAGGACTGCCCTGCACATTTTACAGGTGTGTACCTGCGCATTGGCACGTTATTATTTCAAATTTTATGGTTGGCACTCCATCTCTTGTTGCTCGCTACTTTGTTTCATGCTTTGCATTTGGATGATTGACTGAATGCGCCTTCCTGATATGCTCACAGAAATTTGAGATCTCCAGCTACAGCTGTGCCGGCCCTGCAACCACCATCGTCCAAGGCCCTGAGCATCACGTGGGAACTGCTGGATAAGCTGAAGCACCTGTCCATTGCAGGCGTTCCTCGTCTTGAGAACAAACAGAAAGTGGTGAGTTCTGGTCGCAGTCCAAGGCACATTCACCGACAGCGCGCAAACTACCTTCAATGCTGCCCACATCGTCGCCCTGCAGATGCATCGCCTCTGCTTTCCGTATTTCATTCAAGCACTCGATTCATAGTTCAGGAAGAATGAACAGGGATTCACTCATTACGTCACTATGCACTATTGTCTATAGCATTAGTTGACGGATGATGCATTTCAATGAGCACCGTACGGCGTGCTCCATTGTATAGAGCAATAAGGCGGCTGTTGCGCGTCTCACGGCGCTTGTGAACCGTTTCCCATAAGGCCTCTGGAGCGGCGTCTGCGATCAACGCAGCGAGCACCACGGACAGCGGCGCTGAAGCTCCCTCGAACCGGATGGTCACTCGCTCGGTGAGCCGGAAGCGAAGCTCCGCCCACGTCGAGCTGGAACACAAGGCTGCCACCAAGGTGAGAATCCATGCTGTGCCACTGGCCAAATTGAACCTACTATTCTAGTACAGCAGTTGCAATATTAAACTTCTGCTGCTATTTGAAGTTGTAAAGTCCGTTGCATCAGTGCAATGATATGTTGATGGAAATGTACTTGCATTGTCGCTACGGTATCATGGCATGCAATGCGATGCTGTGATATTTCTGTCGTCGTTACTGTCATGCACAATGGCCACATCGCTGTTTCGATCTATTCATTTATGTTACACGCAGAATCTTTATAGATTGGATGTTAATGTTGTAGAAACAAAATGGAGCTGTGTAACTTGTTCCTGCGTCTGTTGTGGTGTTGCACCCAAAAACAATTTGTCAAAAGGAAATGCACAGGAAAGTATGTGTACTTTCCGCAGCCTGAAACACTACTTTTGAAGTATGTTTTAAAGATTGGCTGCATCGCCGCTTCCAGATAGTCGCCTAGTAGTTGCGATTAGTAGTGCACAAGTCGGTCCTACTTTCGTCCTCGGTGCATTAGCATCTCGCTGCTTTGAACAAAAAGGCAGGGACAAAAATATTCCTTGAGGCTAGAATCTACCGAGATTTATACCTATAGAGGCATTGTGTAAAATGGCTGGGCTTGCCTACAGACGTCACCCTACATCTTTTGTTGTTTAGGTACTTTGTTCTTCATGGCAATGTGCTGCACCTCTTCATGTTACGCGTACATCATAGGCACCGTACAGCGGGCTTTCGGACAGCATGACGAGCTAGTACTTCCAGTAGACTATTGGCAAAGCACTTAGTAGTGTCGGCGTTAGTGGTGCGTTCATTTCCCTAGAAAAGGCTGGGACAAAAATGCGCGTACATGCAGAGATTCTCAGGAACTATACGCTCATGGTCCAGCGCTTGGCGCAGCGGTGGGCATCGTCACGCATATTCTGATGAAGAAACCGGAGCCGCCTGGCGGCCGTGGGGCTTGAAACACATGCTCAATATGGTGCGACTGGACTGCCCCCACCACGTCCATTTCCTTTTTTGGTCAATGTTGGCATAATATTTACCGCATTGCAATACTTACTTGTAGCAACTGGCCCCCACAAGCCTTCTGGCAGAAGGGGACCGCTGTAAATGGGCAATTTCATTTGCACACAGGCCACCTCAAGGGGCTCTTTCAAGATCGTTGTCAACCAGCCCCCCTCGGGAAGGCGGAGACCGCAGAGCCCTAGATTCGGGTGCGACTCCATGGATGTCGACGGGAACCCGGAGGGAAGCTGGGGAGGCGCGCATAACGGCGCCATCTTCAAAATTTGAGGTCACCGGCATCTGCGGCCAATGGACACTCCCAGGGACGGCATTTTCCGCTCGGCCGTTGCACATGCTTCGGCGGAGGTCACGGAAGGGGCGGGCTCTCACTCTGTTTGATAATTCTGACTTCGATTGTTTGGGCTGTCTCTGACTCTGTACATATGAAGGGCTCTCTCAGTGGGCCGATTTCCGGACGCGGTTTAGGGCACCTGGAGCGCGATCTGGGGATGGGAAGGATAGCTCGTGGTCGGACGCGTTCCAACCATTGTAACAACACGCTTCACAAGCAAAGGGGTTGCTGGGTTTGCTAGATTTGGTCACCCTTTGGGAGCCATTTCATGCAGCGCAGGGGCGTTGGTGCGCGTGATCGTGACACAGCGGCGGGCGGGACTCCAGTATTGCGCATGTGGTTGAGAGCAATTCGACTCTTGCTGTGTTTAGTGAGTGACATCACGCAATGCCAGTGACGCGCTTCACATGCGGCGCCCGTGGGAAAAAGTACGCGCTCGTCGCTGTCTGTCCTCCGCAGCTGGGGCCGGCTGGGTTTTGCAGATGTTTAGGAGGAAACGTGATCTGGAACGATGCCAGCTCCTGCCAGCCCGGTTGGACGGTACCTTGTCCTGTGGCGAAGGACCGGTATGCAAACAGCACAAATTTGTGCCACTGGCGACCTCTCAGTGGCGATTTTTTTGTGAAGTAGATAGAACGTAAACAAATAAATGAACAAATGAGCAAATAAATAAATAAATAAATAAATGAACAAATGAGCAAATAAATAAATAAATAAATAAATAAATAAATAAATAAATAAATAAATAAATAAATAAGTAAGTAAGTAAGTAAATAAATAAATAAGTAAGTAAGTAAGTAAATAAATTAATTAATTAATAATGAATGAATGACAGATGAACTCTTTGACTTTCATTTCGAGTTCAAACTGTGTTCATCTGTCGAGAATCGTACACCGACTGTGTACAACTCGCACGGATGCAGGATGAAGCTGGGTACATCTTCCTTGACTTTGGTGCCGCTCGTAACCTTTGCCTCGCCGCCAAGGCCCCACATGAGGCCACGGCGAATCAGCGAAGACCCAAAACGCGCTCAAACTTACTCTCAAACTCAAAATGGCACGCGCAGCCCGGCCCAGAACACACCACACATGTGCCAATAAACAAATCCCGGCAGGCCCCCCCATTCCCTCTCCCAGCACTCTCCGCTCTGGCCAACACCCCTATTTCTTCTTGCCGCCAAAGTTGAAGGCGTCCTGAAAGCCCTTCGTGACGCCTTCGAATCCCTCCTGGAGGTCATCCAGAAGGCCCTTGACTTCCTCCGCGGGGGGAATGAGCTTGACGTCCTCAGCCACGTACCACTTTTCGGGCTGCTCCCGGTCCTGCGCGCCGCCAGAAGCCACGGGAATGGGTAAAACAAATGGCGCCGTCGTGTCTGCATTGCTTTGGCAGGACAAACGCATCAAGCTAACCTGTCCAATGATGATATGGGTTGTTAAACGGCGTGGCGCCTGAGTGTGTGTCAATGCTGAATGTTAATAGGTGGCTCTTGCGCAATTACCAATCCAATTTGTTCTCGTTATGAATTTCTTGATATATCCGTCACGTTCAGAGGGCATGTGCGAATGTGACTGGATGCTAAATTCTGATCACAGCAAGGGCTTCCAGCGACAGTTAAATGCCCGCTGCCACACCAACCTACGACCTGTCGCATGACCCCCACATAGCACTCACCCTGATCTTGAAGCCGTACTCCAGCTCCTTCGCGTCTTTAAGAGGCGGGTAATTCTTTCTGACACTCCTCTCGACCTGGTCAATTTCCTTCGACGCGCACACGAAAGAAGTCAGGGCATCGTGGCCACAGGCTGACATGGAGGCACGCATGCACAAGTGCAAGCTGCAGCGCCATCCAGTTGTGTGCACCTAATGTGTCCAGAGCTCAAAAAGTGCCATATGTGCATCTACCTGCCTGTGGTGGGATCAGGAGTCTGCTTTTCTGAGAAATTGTGTGCTTTCCTTGAAAGAATACAATTTCTGCCAAGAAACGGGAATCTGATGGCTGTTGTCCAAGACCAGAACAGTGTGTTGTCCCATGTTTTGGACAAGCACTACTGATGGGAACGTTGACACATAGAATGGCAAAATGTCCAAACGAACCAGATGCTAAACAAATATTGCTCACAGGAATGCAACACATGCATGCGTGAAGACATGCAATACAAAGCCTGTTCCAGCGTGGGCCTCTAACCACAGCGCATGGCTAGAGGACGTTGGCATCCTATCGATAACAGCAACGTTTGTAACGTTTGTTTAAAAGCAGCAATGGAAGCACATGCTGGACGTGCCACCACGATTCCCTGCAGATTGGACACAGATCCAGCAAGGATTTTCTCAGTTAACATGGACACTCACGGAGTGCATGTTTGTTGGTTTCATGCACAATTGTTGCTCTTATTGTATTCTTGCTGTTAGTGGCTACTCTTGTGCTCAAAATGAACGCCGCAAGCTCTTGTTGATGGTGCTCTGATGTGTCTCTGTTGGCCGTATCTTCAGCCCACACTGAACAACAGATTCTGAATCTGCCCCTGCAGAGAGCACCCTGCCCACCACATCGGATTCTTCGCCCCTTTTGAGATTTCTGAGTTCCTTCATAATGGATCATTGGCATCATGCAAATGCAGAGATCACATGTATCCCATCTGCACATAACTGCTGTCGTTTTCGACAAGGGCAATTCTATCCTCCACTGCAGTGGAAGTGGCCAGCTGGGGATCTAGACAAACATTGATCTGTTGTTCTGAGTGTGTTGCATGTGCCCAATTTAGCCTATCTGTCCCCAGGCCTGGATGAGCTAAGTATGTTGCCAACTCTGTATATATACACATGCCCAGGATGATCATTTGGGCAAGCTCCTGGACAGGAACGAGCTCTTTTGCAGGGACCTGAAACCTTGTGACAGGTGTAGTTATCACTGTGTGCCAGGAATGGCGCACTTGTGTCGGGTGCCTTTGTTACGAATGAGTTCAGGTTCACATTCGTACCTTGTACAATGCTTGACCAACATTCTTCACCAGAGTATCGCTGTACAGCTTCTTTCCCCATTCGTTCTGCTGCGATTTGGCAAGGGCATTGGCACTCCACCCGCCCTTCATTATGCTGTAGGGGTACCACCGTGGCAGCAACTTGGAACGCACGAAAATGACAAACTCCTCATTGTCTGGGTCGATTGGGGGCGTCGGCGGCAGCTGCCGAGTTTGGGCGGGACCTCCCCTCATCCGCATCGTCTTCTTGCCTTTCTTGGCAAACACAACCTGTCCAAACAATAAAAGAACAAATCTCTAACACGCTCGCAAGAACAGACAGACGATGAATGAAAAGAATATCAAGGCACTGAGTTTCTACCAAGAGTGCTGGCTGGCGCCCGACAGGATGATGCTTGTGCACATTTGCCAGCTGGCCTCGAGACAGTTGAAGGAAGAGAACTGATGATGCTTATGTTCTGGCTGGAGCAACACAGTATCAAGTTGCATGCCACACACTCAGGTCATCAATGCATAAAATCGAACCCCGTTATGAATATACGCCGGGCTGGATGAAGTGTTGAATATTTAACAAGCGTGATTGCAAGTGCAATGTTCAACCATTGCTTCTAGGGGACTGAGGTGATACCAAGGACTATAAATTGGCTAGGCAAATTCACATTTCTGCACAATACATATACCCAAATGATGGGGGCAATGGAATTGATCGACGCAACTCTTGTAACATATGGTGTGAGGGGGTAGTGGGAGCCTGTTCAACAGAAGATTAAATCGAGATAACGTCACAATAATGAATCCCATCCAGCCAGTTCCCAAAGCCCGAAATTCGCACAGTTTGGGCGAAACAGACTTGCTGCAAGAATTCAATCGTTTGGCATCAAGGTCATCTTTGCATAGACATCATCCATTTCTGCTGGCAGTGATCAGGGCAAGACTGTCTGCAGCTGAGGGAGTTCTGCACTTGCTGCGCATCCCATCAGCGGGCATGCCAAACAGCTGGTAAAGTGCATTCGAGACGAATCCAGAACGTGGAATCATGCACACATTGGTCGTCATGAATGACACCTTGACCCTATCCCTTGAATCCGTTTGTCTTGTGTCCCAATCTGATGACTCCCACCTTGCACCAGTTCTAGCTGTCTCAGCAACTCCACTGCATGGCAGAGGCTTTAGATTCCTCTCCACTCGTTTCCATAAAAGCACATGCACAATGCCAATCTGTCTTCATTCAAGGACAGGTCAGGCAACCCCAATTTCAGGAGTGCCCTGCGCTGCGAACCTGCCACCCACCCCAACCGCTCCCAAGCCCGCATCGTGCTGAACGCCACCCACCACCCCACCACTCTGCACACCCTTCGCTCTCAGAGACCCCTTTGGGGTGTCACGTCCAGAGACAAACAATCCGCCAAGTTGCACACCCGAATTTCTGTCCCCCAACACTGCAGAGACCCTCGACTTCTTGTTTCCGTTGTTAAATGACGCGCCATTGATTCGTTGTTGCCGCATTATTCAACGAGCCCTTATTGGTTGATTCAACACATTGCAGCTCATGGGTTAAATGTTCGCAAACTTCAGGCCAGGAGGGGACCGACCAGCGAACATCGCGCTTTCCACCGAGCCACAGCCTTCGACACCAGATCAAAGGCAATCTCCACTGCCCCAATGCCACCCACCATATGCTCTGCCCCTCGCCGGCGCTGCTGCTTGTGTGCCACCCCCACGGGTCGACCAAACACGCCGCTCGAGGCGCCCCCAAGGCACCTGCACACACGGAGGCCCCAATCCTCAAAGCGCGCCCGCCGCGGCCTCGTGAGCGGCAGGGGCATGATCGCCTTTGCGGCTCCAGAGGGGAGATGCACGGCAGGACCGGCGATTGACCATGAGACTATGCGCCATCGGAGAAGGGGCGCGACTCACCACTGGGTTCCCTGGAGGCACTTGCCGCTCGTGGACGCCATGGCGCTTGCCCCCTGGGCGCGCGACGCTCCAGAGGTTGGCGGCAGTGGGGATTGAGGGCACAGGGCTGAGTTGCCACCACGCACCACAACGGCATAAAATTACTGGCTGCACCAAATCGGTGACTTTTTGCACCAAGTCACGTGCACATCATGTCCAACTCCGTCCAAACTAACCTAACCTAAAACCTAAACACTAAAACCTAAACCAGTCCTAACCCTAACCCTAACCCTAAAAATCACCCTGAAACTAAACCAAACCCTAAAATTGAGGTAAATTTGGTGCAGGCAGTAATATTATTTCCACCGGAACCGACCATTGATGAGTACTCACCAGGCAACACTGTTACGGCTAGAACTGAATGAGTGTTATTAATGACTGAATGCATGAAAAGATGACGAAGCACTAGGAATTGCATTAAGGGTGTTCATGAACGGACTGAGTATAAAGGACAGAACGTCTATTGTCCTTTTGCCTCAGCTGTAAACCGTTGCCGCGGACTCGAGTGTACAATTCCCGTTCAGGGATCGCCACCCCTCGACCCTGCCTGCCTTCGTCAACATCACCATCTTCTGGAAATTTTGCGCGTGCAGGCGAGGACGCCCCCATCAGCTTCCCATTTGGACGACTCACGGCCATAAATGGCGTGGCAACTGCGTGGACGCAGCATCCAATCTGCTGCGGAGTCTGTCTGGATAGCGGTCAGTTTAACTGACCACGGCTAATAGCCTGTCGGCTTCGGAGTCCGTGCATGCAGAGCTGCAACCCTGAAATGTTCCAACAAAGACCCAAACCCGGAGCGTTGCGCCAAGCATTAGCGGAAGATCTTGAAGATCTTCCAATCGCACTTTTGAACGAAGAAACTGCGGCATTTGGTGTTAGAATGTTGGTGTTAGAATATCTGGTGTTAGCATATTCCCAGTACAATGCGGTGCATGCAAAGGCATATGCATGTGGAAAAGATGTGGTTGTGGAAGTGCATAGCCAGAATATGGACAGCCGCCATCCAGCTAATGGTCAGCCCCTTATCGCGGCTTTGGTCCAGTTGGTCCCTATAGCGCATTTGAGTTCAGTGCGCACTGAACTAACTAGTGTTGCGTCCAATGACCACGTGGCTTCCATGACATATGTTGATAACACGGCTTCGAAAGTTTGGCCGCCGGCATGGGAGATTTAAATACGTGCTTTTTACGCTTCATGGTCCTTTCATTCCTTGTAATGCCGCCATTTGAGGTTTTACAATGTTAAGAATATCCTGAACCCTATTCTTTGCGATAGTATTGAGAGACCGTAGATGGGCGGTATCCATATGTGGGCGCACCATAATCCCGGGTCAGTCAGAATTCACCATGGATCGGGAAGCGAAATGGCCAAGTTTGTGCGCCAATGAATGCATTGTTATCACAGCACTTCATGAGGTGGGCGCTGGAACAAACAACACCAGCTTGAAGCATAATGCGTGACTTGTGTGCTTTTCTGACCCTGGGATTAAGCACTTGGCATTTCGTGCACGTGTTACGGTACATGCGACGAGAGAGCTTGGAACTCCAGAGTTGTAAGTGGAGCTGGGATGCCGAATATCTACACTAACACTGCGCATGATATATATCAGAGAGCGATACATACCCGTGATATATCGAAGCACGTTCGGCAGTACAATCGCCCAATTCATGTATTTGAATGGGAACACTGCAACAATGTAGGTGGTTACATCGCGCCGGATTGCGTGTCTTTTCAATATCAAAGCATTGCTCACGGCATGCATCGAGGGTGCGTATGCAAGCACAGCACCAGTAGAAAACTCCCTATTGGAGATGTCAACTGCGGTGTCATGTGAGACTAATTGATGCAATCACGCTGCTTTTTATGCAATCGCTGTGATGCTGCCACTCAGTTTCAAAGGGCGTCGCATTTGACTTCCCTAAGCAAAGTTTGTGCTAGTACGAGAAGAGCCCATGGTATCCGCATCGCTGTTGCTGCAGGAGCCGTCGTCCAAACAACATTTGGCACACAATGAAGTGACTGTTGGGGTCCCCGCCGCCCTCCTTTCGTTACTTAGAGCATCTGGTACACAGCCAGACCCGGAAATACGACCTGCTAGACCCTGTGCGTCTGACGTCGAAATTGTGTTAGACCTCCGCTATGAAAATGCGCGAAAAGAGATGCAGGATCGCGATGCGGAGAAGAATCGAATTTGCGCACCCGCGAATCCTTCCTTTCGCAACAACCAGTCAATTTTGCATTGGCTTTCATCCCCGCACAATGATAGCACTGATCAGCGCTGAACATCCCACCAGGCAGCTGCTCGACAAGTCCAACAGCTCAGGGAAGCATGACATATCAAAATTCCGCGGTGAGTCTTTCTTTTGCAATGTTATTGACACGACGTCCACCAATTTCTCGAGACCTCCCACACTTATTGCCGGGCATCTTGTACATCATATATAATATATCACCCCGGCTGGTGAAACGCATCGCTACCGCCACCAGCCTTGTCCGGCAATCCATCTTTTAGCACATTCATTGTTATGTTGTGGCAGGCCGCCCTCTTGCCGTCTGCCAGGCTCATTGGCCAGCCTCACCATGGCCAGGGAGTCCAGATTCAAAAGGCCACTAACTATGATGTCCTCAAAGCAGGTGTCGGCCGAGTTATCTTCCACACCTACCATTCTGCCCGCAACAATAACGGGTTTCGCGCCAATATTCGTCCCCTCTCAACTGAATAGATATGTTCCATGCATAGTAACTAGCCAGTAGTTAGTGCCCACTGCTGTCCCCACTGCACCGCGTGCGAAACCGCAATCTCGGCACGATACCCTGTAACGACGGCACCGCCCTGGCCAAAGAAATTCGAATTCCCCGGTGAAACGATCTTGTCAAGTCGCTTTTGCCTTCCAAGGTCCGTGGCTTCCACAGCGCCGTGAACTACGAGCATCCTGCCACTGCAAGCGCAAGCCAGTCATCCGTCATGCGCGGAACCATTGCAATTAAATGGACGGGTAGCATGGTGGTCCGGCATAAGAAACAGCAGAAGTTTGTCCAAAATTTTGGAGGCTTGAGCACATAGCGAACACGCGCACACTCAACGGCTTCACTGCGCTGCTGCAAGGATGATGCTGGCGATGGCACCGAGATGTCCGCAAAGGGGAATACGCCCAAAGCTTTGAGCATCGCGGGCGCACTTCCGTTACATTGACTACACAGTGAATTATCATATAATAATTTCCTCGCCATACAGCGCCATGAAAGGCAGCGCCACAAAGATAGAAAATCATGTGAAACGGCGTGCTCGAGTCAAAATTTGTACACGTATAGGGGGTGATCATAGGCATTAAGAAATGTCTGGTGCCCCATGACTATACCACGTTATTGTGGCAATTTGTACATTGGCGAGATAGTTCTGGTGGCGCCCAAGGCCGTGATCACAACTCTTACCGGCTTTGGATACCTCGTCACCACCCCGAACGCTGGGCAATTTCTGGCCAACGAGCAGCGCGCCAATGGATTGCACCGACTGAGCCAGATCGCCGTGTGTGGCGGGGCCGGAAGCTGGGATGTCGATGTCCACCCTGATTGCCTGCAGCATGTATACTAAGAAAGGGTCGGTCGCCTTCGAGTGGAAAGTACATAAGAAACCGTTTTGCCAAGAACGCTGAAGTGCAAGTACTTTCATTTGTTTACTGTCATGGTGTATTGGGAGAAACGGCCCCCAGTGGTTGATGGACGGGGATTCAAATCACTGAGTGGCTACATTATGATCGCATGACTCAGCGGAGACTTGCAACATCCTTCCAGGCGAGCGCTGCGGCAGCTTGTTGCTTCGACAGCCCAAGTACCATGGGATTTTAAGCCCTTCCGCGTCATACAGTTTTACCGTTACGATTTTTGCTCCTCATTTTGTTTTCCAGAGCGTTACCTTCATTTTGTCAAGTCGCTCCGCAAAATTTTTATTGGAATGACGCTATTTTGTTTGTTTTCTATGCAAAAAAGGGCCCACCGTTACGTTTCTATGCGGAAGGATTTAAGACCCACGGCAACAGCACACCTGCCCAGCACATTCCTTTGCGGCACCAGGACAACAAACCATCATATCCGACTCCATTTCCGTGGTCACAAATCGTGCCCTGCCTCGCACGCGCCCCCCTCAGGACACAGTGCCAACGTCACCGCAACCCCCACCTGGGTGTTGTGCGGGCAGAGGCCGTCGCCGTCCACCTGCGTGAACTTCAGGTGCTTGCGGAAGGCCCGCCTCTTGAGGCCCGCCGCCGCCGCCAGCCTCCTCTCCTCGACCCTCAGCTCCGCCATGAATGCCGCGCGGCTGTCCACGCACACGCGCACCGCCAGCGACGCGCCGCAGGCACCGCCGGAGGATTGAGCGCTCGAGGACGCGGCGCCGCCGGTGGAGGTGGCAGACGCGGAAGCCGAGCCGCCCGTGGAGGCGGCGGAGGCCGAGGCGGAGGCCCGGGAGGGAGGCGGGGTGGGGGGGGAGTGGGCGGGGCCGGCGGTGGGAGCAGTGGCCGCGGCGGGGCACCCGGAGCCAACCGACACTGGAGCAGTGGCAGGGTTGGTGGTGTTAGCACCGTGAACTGAAGCTCCACAAATTCCACAAATTTCACAAATTTCACAAATTTCACAAATTTCACAAATTTCACAAATTTCACAAATTTCACAAATTTCACAAATTTCACAAATTTCACAAATTTCACAAATTTCACAAATTTCAACAAAATTCACAA